GTTCCGTGTGGCCCAAAAGACAACAGTCCATCGTTTAAGGACTGTCGGGCAGCAGCAGCGCGCGCTGCAATGTGGCGCGGACAGACGAAGCCTGCGGTTTCCGTGTCAGCCTGATTTCCATGGATCGCTGACGAATTCCACTTTTTCGACTCTTTGAGCTTCGAAAGTGGAAGCTGAGTTATTTTGAATTGTTTGACTCTGAATGAATCTGAAAGAATGCAAGCCATTTGAATAAATGCCTGAAATAAGGCAAAATACAAGGAAAAGAGCATATAATCGACATAAAAAAGGAAATCAGAGCCAGTACAATTCAAAATTGTTCAGAATAACTCACCTTCCACTTTAGAAGCTTGAAGAGCTGAAAAAGCCGAATTCCATCGAAATCAGCTGATTCACCGTCACCGAGCCGCAGCCGCTGTCGCGTCACAGTGCAGCGCGGCTGTGCCGCCCCGACAGTCCGTAATGATGAGGACTGTATAGGAGCGCTCATTTCTTTTGTATCAATCCCACTGGGACGGCGCCTCGTACTCTCGAGGTTCCACGGTTTGCTTTGGGTCTCATTTAGATGTGGTGATAAGTGCTCTTATGTCGTTCTTCTGTGTTTCAAATCTTTTCCCTCAAGCTTTTTCCCCACTAGTATTCGAGAGAATCGATCAATCCCATTTCTATTTAGAAATAATGCTAAAGAAACGTTGGAACTCTTTTCTGAAATATCTTGGAGGATGAAAACAAACCGACTGGGCGCTAGCTATAGTGGGAGGGAACGTGGAGAGAGTAGGTCGCAGTTACTGTGGTCTTGTGCGCGTCTGAATCTAAGCATGTGGATAGAAGGGATTCCAAGGCCAGTTTTCCTGGGCGCAGGACAGACGGGCAGAAATTGCGTCGCTCAGTCGTCGCGTGCTCTTTCTCACCCCAACCGCAGCTGCGTTTGCGAGTGTTCATAGTCGCCATTTTCCTGTTGTAGGAATGCGTTCTTAATGGAATGGAATGGAATGTATCTTCGAAAAAAATTCTGAAAAGTCATTTTTGTAATAACTTTTTGGATTGTTGCTGTGACTTAGCGCTTAGCTTGTAGATAGCTTAACTCAAAGTAATATTAGTTGTGTTAAATGAGTTAATCAAAATAGGTGTATCAAATGTTATTCTATCAAGTGTGCTAAATATGTCCCCTTTCTCATCATGTCTTCGAACCGACGGTTGTACCTGGGATGCTTTCATATTTCACTTTTGGCTCTATTAGAGGGTTAGTATGGAATGGGTATCGATTTTACGCGTGCACAATCGATACTGATTGTTCGGACGGTCTGAAGTAGGAAAGCAGCCCAAGTGATCGTTTGCTGTTCACTGGTGAAAGTGTAGTAATTTAGATGTTTTCTGTATGCGTCGATATGGTTGTTCCTGTTATTTTTTTCCCAGTGTCTACAGTTAGCTACCTTTTCCTCGTGGTTTGAGGAAGATCTCAAGTTTTGCCAAAGATGTCCGCTTGTATTCTGTTAATGATCTCACTTTAGTTTTAGAACTGTCTGGGATTTTCTTTTTTTTATTAGGTTGAATAGTTAATAAATTGTTCCTTCAAACAGTTTTCAGTGGTTGCACAAGAATGGTTGGGCCTCTTGGCGCCATTAATACTTGTTTTCTGTGGTGTCTATATTTACTGTTTCGTGATTTTATCGTGTTCTCATCTTGCCTTCTTGCCTCTCAACAACTTGGAAATAGTGCTCGAGCGCAACTTGCGGCTATGTGCTTGGCGATCATCGCTACAATTATTGCATTGACGCTGGTGAATTCAACTCACTTACCTTTGTGAAATCAGAATGCTCGCGACCCCATCGCGGTGCTCCTTCTCCCCCGGCCCGTTTGATCGGGCATTATATAACCATTTGTCACACTTTAGAATCGACACTCTTTCCAAAGCCCAAAATGCGCAACTTTTCAAACGCAATCTGACACCTGTCAGACACTGTTTCAACCAAATCAGAACTGTTTCAAAATCAAATCGACACATCCCGGACCGCCCTTACCAATTGATGGTGTTATAACTAGACCACACTAGGTACTGTTGCAAGCCCCGCCCCATTATCCCCGCCGCCATTTCTCAGCGCGGACAGGGTTTTCCAGATGCCTCATGAAATCTGCTCCATCGACTTTTTTTCGTTTTTGCCCTTTGCACACCCACTCCATCTGAAAAGGTTTATACGCTATACAAGATCTGACTCCGCCGACATTAAAGACACATTGGTACGCTCAAACACAACCGCCCACTTGTGTTTATCGCGGAATTTTGGTTTTTCTTCCGGATTTTCGCTTTTTTAGGCTTTAGCGATTGGCTCCGCCCACCAATGGAAGCTCCGCCCACTTTGGGGAAGCCCCGCCCACTTTTCGAAAATGATGCAAATCGGCGGGCTAGTGTCCGTACTGGCGGATTACGGCCTCTCCCGTCGCTCAGAACAAAGTTTCCCTTTTTTCCGGTTTTTCCCTTTTTTTATTCTATGTGCCGGGAGAGGCCGTAATCCGCCAGTACGGACACTAGCCCGCCGATTTGCATCATTTTCGAAAAGTGGGCGGAGCTTCCATTGGTGGGCGGAGCCAATCGCTAAAGCCTAAAAAAAGCGAAAATCCGGAAGAAAAACCAAAATTCCGCGATAAACACAAGTGGGCGGGGTCAGAGGGGCGGGGCCTGGTGTGCTGTGCATGGTTATTCGTTTTGTGAAGATTGGATGTGAAAAGAACTACGTCGAAAAAAGTTATAAAAATTCAGAACTTACGTAACTTCATTGTTAAAAGACACATAGTACGCTCACACACATTGAGGGTGTATGAGACTATCAGCCCCCCAGCTGTCGATGTGTCGTGGTCCTCGGTCAGAACTTAAAAGCAACTGTGCCACTTCTGCAACATCCCTCGGAGGCCGCGTATTTCCACGAAACATGAAAATAAAAACGGCATACTCGTTAGATTACAAGCAAACGCAATTTCCTGATGCGAATAAAATTTTAGGTGTTGCTCATGCTTCAAAATCCATGTACAAGGAGATGAAGATGACACAGGCTAGAAATGAAGCACAACGATGTAAATGTAAATAAAACAAAAATGAAAAAATCAAGGAAAGGCAAATTAGTTAAAATCGCCTGTAAATTTCTACGATCCGGCGCGAATCCGGCGCCAAAGCCATAGAAATACTTAGAACAAACGAGTGGGACGCTTGGATTGTTTTTATTCTCATGTTTTGCGCGGCCTCTGATGGATTCTGCAGATGCAGCCGAGTTGCTCTTGAGTTCTGGCCCTTGTCATCATCTTCTGTTCTTATTTTGTAGCACCTCCAATGTTATCCGCATCAGGAAATTGCGTTTTACTCGTATTTGAGAGCGCAATTAAAGGACTTGGCAAAGTGCCAAGGAGCCGCACGCGACACGCGCGCTTGCAACGGATGTTATGAAGGACGGGAATCTGCGCCGCAAAAGGTGTAAGGCGGAGCATGGAGGAATTAGCGTGTTTCACGGTCCTGTATCTCCATTCCTGGGCATGTTTGGGCGGGGGGACCACGACACATCGACAGCTGGGGGCTGATAGTCTCATACACCCTCAATGTGTGTGAGCGTACCATGTGTCTTTAAGTGGGCGGAGTCAGATCTGTATAGGTATCAATCTTTTTCAGTTGAAGTGTGTGTGCAAAGGGCAAAAACGAAAAAAAGTCGAGGGAGCAGATTTCATGAAGCATCTCGGAAAACCCTGTCCGCGCTGAGAAGTGGGCGGGGATAATGGGGCGGGGCTTGGGGTACCTAGTGTGGAACCACCTAATTGTAAGGGGTGTGTCCGATTTGATTTGAAAAGTGTCCGATTTGGTTTGAAAAGTGTCCGATTTGATTTGAAAAGTGTCCGATTTGGTTTGAAAAGTGTCCGATTTGGTTTGAAGTGTCCGATTTGGTTTGAAAAGTGTCCGATTTGGTTTGAAAAGTGTCCGATTTGGTTTGAAAAGTGTCCGATTTGGTTTGAAAAGTGTCCGATTTAAAGTGAAAATGGTATATAAAAAAGGTATATAAAAGTAGCACTTTGGGAACCCAAATCGAAGAGGGTTGCATCTTGAAGGGAACGGGGGGGGTATTCGTATCTGGCCTGAGAATTTTTTTGATAGTTGCTGCTTCCTGTTCCAAGTTCACGCGTTATCCACAGCGTTAAAAGACTCTTACTGGGGAGGGTGTCGTACTTTCCAAAAAATTGCCCCAGCAGCAGTAAATCCCCTGCGTACAAACGATCAGATGCTGACGCGAAATTGGCTGGCTCTTGGTGAGGCAAAAAGTCCAACTTCGTAATAAAATTCGTTGTATCTCGTGGGCTGTATTAGCCCAAACATTCTGGACTGATGGATCTAGGAGATTTCTGTCCATTCCTTATTTTCCAGCAAGTGTCAAACAGGCCTTTTAAGCGATACTCCGCTCAAATTTTCAGCCGATTTTTGGAAAATAGTACCCGCTCTCTCCCAGTGGGAGTCTCCCACCGTTGTGGATATTGCCCGCAAACAGGAAAAATCAGCAGCCAAAAATTCATGCGAAATACCCCCGCACCCTCCACCGACCAAATACGATCCTCCCCCCTCCCCCCAATCTCCCAGTAGATAGGAGATCTAAAGGGACCAAGGGCACGCGACTGTGCGACCAAGCTCCTTTTCCAAGCCCTCTCGCTGCGGCAACAATTCTGTACTCCATTAGACTTATTATCAAAGAGTGCAAGAGGCCAGAGTGGGAGGGCCTAGTTCCGCCGCGTGGTTCCTTCAATCCCGTTTCACCGTTTTTACTGCTAGTTACTTCCTGGCGATTTCAAATTCGATTTCTTCCACTTCATCTTTTCTCCTTGGGGTTTATTGAGTTTTCTGGCCTTTGCTAATAACCCAGCCTTGGGAAAAACTTCTGCTGCCTAGCTCGCTATTTCTTTTCATCATTTTTCAACGTTATCTATGATCAATAGTGTTGATTTCTGCTTGTGTATAATATCTGTGTCTCAGGATGGAGGGTGAACCAAGGGAGATGAAGCCCGGTTTTTATACGGTTGAGTTGAATCGAACTGTATGGGCTGTGCCAGTATACTATCAAAACCTCACTCCAATTGGTACAGGAGCATATGGAACCGTTTGGTGCGTTATTTCGGAAGATTACTTCTCGTGTTTTGATACTAGCTAGGTAATTGAAAAGTAGGGTGGTTTCTGATATCTGTGTACTCTGGCTATTGACCCATTAGCAGTGGGGAGGCGGAGACGCCTGGGTTCACGCAAATCACAACAGCTCCAGTTTTGTCCGCTGCGGATAAGGGGGCGCTTCAAGAAATGAAAGGGGTGGGTTTGGCGCGTTTCAGCCCTTTTTTTCTTTCACCCGCTTCATCATTTCGGGAAGATCGAGCTGATGGCGCACCAAACCCGGCCTCAACGATATGCCTCATCTTCTCAGCACCAAAAACAGGCGAAACATTCCGGCGAAAAAGTTTCTCAGCCAACGTTGTCGATGGCAAGTTTCACTTTTTCTCGAGTACATTAAGCAGAACTGTAATACCTTATACTGCACCTTCCCGTGAAAATTTGCTCCTTTTAATATCGATAAAATAGAACTTTACAGTGCCGCCGAATGTCTGCGAACGAACACACGTGTGGCTATCAAGAAGTTCAATCGTCCATTTCAGTCGATAATACATGCGAGGAGAACATATAGGTGATTAGGTATTGATTTTCCGGGGTTTATTTATTTCCTTTACAAGATGAAGGTGATCAATTCGGTGCGGGATATGAACACTTTACATCAGCGTAATCAAAGCACGTTTTGCCGTTGGTAATCACGGTATTTCCTCCTCTGGTACGACACCCGTCTCCTCATCCCCCGTCCTAGATACCTTCTTAAATTCTAGCAAACTACCTACCGTTTCCCACCTCACACTTTTCCTGATTTCCAAAGAAATTTTTTAGTTTCCCTCCGAAAACCATCGTCCAATGGCGGTGGTTTACAGCACAAGTGCGACAACGGGGGAAAAAGGGTTTATATAGCACCAGTGGAAGGGGAAGAACCGAAAAGGTCCACTGACAGAACATGTTCCTAAAAACACTTACCCTCTTTTTGCTGACCAAATGTAACCCTCGCTGGAAATCCCCAGCGTACAACGTGTTCTGAGCGTAATTAGCTAATTCAAATAAGGATTTCCAATTGTACTGAACTTTTGTTGAAGTTGCTAGAAGCCCGCCATCGCTGCCCTCCCCTTGTCCATTTCATGACTAGGGTTGGGACATTACACCCACATCAGAACAACGCGCCGTAACAAGTTTACATTAGCTAGTTGAGACACACACAGTATGCTGCAGCATTTCCACGTTGAATCGATCAGATTCTGGTGCGAAGGTCGCTTAGATGAATTAAGATGCTAGTGATATTGTTGAATGTATTGCATTTCACAGATGGCACTTGCAACGTGGCCTTAGCCGCGTCGGGACAATGTTTAGCTAAGTGCCGCACCCATATGCTTGTCCTGATCCTTTTAAGACATGCATACGATCTCATGTGGAGGTTGTAATGAAGTTATTGCAGTTCTATCCCAACCATTATAATGTAACTCATGATCCGCGCTGGATGGCCAAGGGGCACAGTACCGCGTCCCTAGGCGTTGGAATTATTCAGTTTTATCAGGGGAATGCAGCTAATGCACATCATTTTAGTTCTTTCTCATGCAGTAAATTTTGGGCTCTCCAAACAGGGTATAGCACCGTTGTGCAAAAACTATCTGAAAAGATCGTATGTGGTCGCTGGGGACGTTCGCGGCAGAAAAGGGTTCGTCAGAGACCGCTTTTTCACCCACCCAGATGCTGCACCCTCTCCAGGATGGATAATTGATGGGATGGTGGGCGCTCGCGAGATCCTTTATGGTACATAGCGCGTTTGATTCGCATTTAGAACCACAATTTTTTTTCTGGTCACTTTTTTGCCACTTGAAGTTTTATCAGAATCGTAGTCGCTTGCTTTATGCGATGTGACCTATGCAGTGACTTAGGGGGCGAGGTGAGTAGAAACTGAGTGTTCCTATCCTCCCAGATAGATTACGGTAGCAATTTAGCGTCCACGGAAGGTAATAGTCTCTGTTGGCCGAAGGGGAGCTAGTGCCTGTTTTGACCTCGTGTTGGCGCACGTGCCACTTGTCACTGCATAATACTACAAATCTACCGACTTAATATATCTTATCCTTGTTGCGTAACAGTTTTTGTATTTTTGCTGGTAACATATTCAATCAGACTAAAGGTGTTCCACAAGGAGGCAACTTCAGCCCGCTGTTGGCAGACCTTACGCTGTCAATCATGGAATATAATTATGCAAAGTGCAATAGATTCAATGCTAGTAAATTGCTCATTCCATATAGATATATGGATGATCTCCTAGTCATACATAACCAGTCTGAAAGTGAAGTCGATGAACAACTCGCTGAGGTCTATAGAAATACCCTCCAGTTGAAGAAGACACACACAACTGAGCTATACAGTAATTATTTGGACTTAACAATCAATATAGTAAACGGCCAAATTACTACTGGTTTATATAATAAAACAGATGACTTTAACTTCAAAGTGATTAGATTCCCACACAGTGATTCAAATATCTCCACTAACAACAAGGCTTCCGTTATATACACAGAAACCTTAGGATAGCCAACACCTGTACTTGTTTTGATACGTTTATAAGAAGGTATCGGATATGGTAAGAATGCTTTATAGCAATGTTACAGTGAGGACTTCATTATAGCTAGTATATGA